TAAAGGAAAAAGGCACATCATGCATGATATAAGCCTGAGAAGGAAGGCAACCTACAGGACAAGTTAGGGATTGCAAAAGAACATTAACTCAGTGCAATTTTTAGTGAAGGCAGGGGCTAAGAAGTATTCTGGGAAATACAAGACATGAGTGTCAAGGTGGAAGCACTCCCAATGCTTTGCAGAAAACGTCAAAAATCTGGCCTAGATGAGGAACTGATTAAGAGTATAACAACAAAGGTGAAGATAAACAGAGTATCTTAGTAACACCTGTCAATTCTGGCAGTTGTGGAGGAATCTGTTTGACTTTCTTAATGGGAAGTTGAAAATGGGCACTGGAGGATAGTGAGATTAATATTCTGACTGCCAGGAGACCATAGCTTTCTCCTCCCTCGTCATAGAATCACTATGGTTGGAAAGGAACTCTAGAATCATCAAGTTCAACCTTCCCTTGTCCAGGGAGAGTTCAGCAGATCTGCCTCTCTAGGCAAGGGAATGTCATACTGAATTACCTTCCCATCATTCATGTCTGCAGGTTATGAAAGAACAGGTTTGGACCCCTGTACCGCTACTACCATTAGCAGTGTGGTTTAGTCAGAGACTCACAAGAAAGAATGAGCCAGCTTTTAAGTCAGATACCAAAGATACCTGCCAAATAAGGATTACTGTACGATGAAAAGTCAGGGAAAGCGAAGACACCAGAGCCTAACCTTAGCATGACTGGTGATGACTTGCTGAGCTTTGGTGATTACCACTGAAGAAGGGACAAATACTGAGGCTGCCTGTTGGGCAGGTCTTCAGTGTTTCAGAGATCTTGTGATCTATCTGTCACATTTTGAACTCATTCCCTGAGACCTGGGCAACTGGGTAAACTGGCCTGCCTTGAAAAAAAAGCGGAAAGCCCACTGGAAAGTGCTGCTTTATCAGATCAATAGTTTCAGAGATGATGAGGTTGTGTAGTTGTATGCAGTTTAAACATTTGTGCAGGGAGTCCACCAGCGCGGAGTATTACTGACAGCTACAGATCAATGTTAATTTTTGATCGTTGTCAACCTACAAAGACCTCTTGACCCTATTGCCACCTTAGGGGCACTACAAGTAGTCAGAAGCAATCACAGTAGGCAGTGTAAAATCATCAGACCTTGAAGGCTGCACAGCCTTGCCCATGCCCAGGAGGAGGACCGAAAGGTAGCAAGGAAGGCAGGCACTTTATGTTACGGATGCTGCTGCCTTTGAATGGCATGAAAAACTATGCTAATTTATTTCCAGACTTTAAGTGACTTCTGTGCTCATGAATTAAAAAATAAACAAACAAAAAAGGCAATCTGAAGCAAATCTTGATGGATACATTATTCATGTTTCATGTTCTCTCATTTTACATTTTGAAAAATGTGTTAAAGTTTTATTTTAAATAACTTTTGTCCTAATTCACAGTTAGAAGAGTGGAATTAGCCGAGGAGTGTATTTGTTGCTGTTAACAACTTGTGCTGCCACTGGCAGGTGCTGAAGCATTTTACACAGCAAAAACAAAGGTGTGGTCCTGCCTGGAGCAGTGGTGCTGTGGCCAGTGCTGTGCAAGGCAAGGGGACAGGGATCCCAAAAGTAAGGACCATGTCAAAGGCTGGGCTCTGGGCTGCAGAATGAGGATCAGACCACTGTGGCTCAGCACAGCTTGACGGAGGGACCTTCAGGAGGGATGTGAGATGGCACACATTTAAATGTTTGCTGGGTTAGTGACTGAATGAGTGAGAATGCTTTGCAGTAGGAGACAGAGAAAGGAGGGCGTGGGCTTGTAGTCCATCAGATTTCATGGTCAGTCAGTCTACGAACATCTTAATGTTCACATTAAAATTTTATTTCGTTGTTTTGCTTTTAATGGTGAATGAAATCTGGACTCTTAGCAGTGTGTAAACATGGGATATATGAGGTCTTGGCTATGCAGACAAGGACTGGGAGAATATTCCAGGCAATGATTTTGATCCTGTGTGTATTTAAAGCTGTGTGGCTGTCCACAGCCACAGGTTAAGCCAAAGTTTACAGTGCTGTCCTTTGCAAGGTGTATTTTACTATTTATATTTGACCATTGCAGCAGGACAGTATTTTTAGGCTGAAAATATCATGAGAGGACATAAATTAATTCTTAGAATGAATCACTGAGTCTGCCATACATCCTCTTTTCAGCATCAGCCTTTCAGATGAGCAAATTCACAAACGGTGATGGCAGTAGTGCAGGGGGAGAAAAAGTGGCTCCATACTCTGGGATTACGTCCCCTGAGCTTACTTCAAACCAAACCAAACAGAAATACATGTAAACCGTTTGCTCTTCAAGAAGTATCTGTAGGAGCCAGGGATAAAAGTCATCCCTGGAAGGAATGGTTTAGCAGTCTCCAGAGAACATGATGAACTGCAGGCAAGGAAATCCCTCCAGCTTTGTTTCATTTCAAAGTGTGGTGAGGATTGTAAATAATTAAATCTTGGGGTTTAGTGGGAAAATGGTAGAGGGTGATGAAAAATAAGCCAATTTTCTGTTTAAAAAAAAAAAAAAAGAAATTGAGTGTTTTGTGGCATTGATGTCACAAAAGCCCACCCTGATGATGCAGCTGACTAGAAAGCAGAGCCATTGCTTTTTGTATGAAGTTTCTAATAATGTGTTTGTACCTTCAGGGAGCCTCTGTGTAGTGGTTCAGGGACAGTAATTTAATGTTGTATGCTCCCTTCCTCCCATCCCTGCCCCCGAACCGTGGAATGTAAATTTTAGGCTTTTAAAAGTTCTGTTTTGAAAACCTAATAGATAACTGTCCTCATAAAAACTATTAATACAGACTACATCCAATTGTAAAGCTAATTTTAATCATGTTTTGTGCCAACATAATTTCTGATGCCAGATTTTTATGCTAAGCATGAACTTCAATTTGAGCTCTGTTCTTTAACCTGCAGTTCATAATTTTGCGTTCAGCTGTATAGGTTTTTTGGCTATGGCAGTTTGAACGCTTCCACTTTCAAGGATCTAAGCCATAAATGTTTATTAAAAGAATCTATAATGAAATCAGTTTTGTTATTTTTTTAATGGCTGCCTTGAGTATGTTGGATGACTGAACGTGTGTTGTTAATCATTAAGTACTCATGCTACAAAAAGTGTTTGATAGTATTGCCATCTAGGGGCTAAACTAAATTCTCCATACTGAAATAAACTGTAATTGAACAGGTGCTGCTATTGACAATATACATATGTTTTTGCTTTATAGCCCACATGCTTTCCATGTTTCTTATGACAAAAGATATCTCTAAATGTCCCACAGCAGCCAGAGCTTTTTTATATATAATCTGTTTGAGGTGATTGCTATTTGCATTTGAGCTTATGCTTTTTAGGCAGTGATGACTGGGAATTCCTAACAAAGAATTATACTTTTTTGCATTATTAATCTTGCTAGTGTTTGCCCTCTTTAACAGAAAAAGGAATCATTTATCAGAAAAGTATGTTTATAATCTGTACTTGTGGCATCTTCAGATTTAATATTCATAATGGTCATTCAAATGCTGTGCTATATTTATCTAAAAGACTAACTCATTGTTGTGAGGAAATAACTATTTAAATATTTATGATCTAACTTTTAATATTTAAAAAAAGAAATTAATATTTCTTTAAAATTTGTTGCTGAGTCTGATAGCTTAACAAATGTTTAAATATTAAACAATTTGAAGTGTTAGCATTTAACAACTTAATATGACTTACTGAAACAGAGAAACTGACTTCCACTGTTCCTGCCACATGAAGGAAACTGAATTCCTGTGCTCCCCTTCTTGAGAGCTATTAATGCAAATGCACAACTAAAAATAAGATTAAACATATCGGTGATCAGCTGAACTCCTTTCTTCCTCTGATGAGACAAATCTGAAGCATCTCCTACTGAGACTTATTACTCCTTTTTTAGACACTATCTTTGATGGTTGTTCAAAGTAATACTACAGCAGTATCACCTTCCTACCTACATCTACATTTGTGCTGAGGTTCACTTTGCCTCATATCTGAGCAGTTTCAGGTCTGTGTCAGATGCTGTTGGAGCTAAGCAGGATAATGCCATGAGCTGCAATGCCAGTGGCCCCTTCTGGCAATGGGCTGATGTCCCTCAGTCTGCATCCACCCATGTGCCCTTGTACTGGGCTGTGGTCTGCTGTGGTGGCAGGTCAGCCCCAGAGCTCCCAGCCCTTGGAAGAGGCCAGTGGGATTCATGAACACCCGTACTCCTCCTAGCCTCTCTGCAGCAGTGCAAGGAGAGGGTCTGGTGGCAGGGAGGGTTTGCCTGTGTCCCCATCAGCAGTGTGGCTGTTTCCTTCCATCTGGAGAAAGAGGGAGGGTTCTTGTAAGACGGCAGTTTGCACCACTATCATCTTACCTTGTGAATTTATCTCAAATGACACCTTTACAAACCGGGAACATAGAGACCTATTTATTGTCTCCCTCCCTCTGCCTTGTTTTTTAAGGGATTTGTCTTCAGTAAGGACATGAAACTGCTCTTGGAAAAACTGTTGTCTATGCAGATTACAATGCTCTAAGTAGCTAGAACATGACAACATGTTTATCAAGCATCATGTCTACACTCAAGATGTGTAAGGATTCTGTAGAGGCAGGCATGACTCCTATACCAGAGGTTTTCACATGTGCTTGAATCTTTCAGAGTACCAGGCACTCTCATCCTCACTGAATAAAGTTCAGACACGTGCTGGATGAACTCCAGGTTGTTTCCTAGCTGAGATTTGGGCTGTGCAGGACACCCTAGGAGTCGGCTCCAAAGGCTCTACCATAATGACATTTTTAAAAGTCTAAGAGATTCTTTTTGAGATTCAACTACCAAAAACCACCAAAAAAATCCTAGTAACCAGATGGGGTATTCTGCAAAGCGGTCAGAAGTAACCCAAAGCTGAGACCTCATTTTCCAAGTGACATAAACCACAGATGCTGATTACTTTTTTAACTAACTCAAACATCTGTATTCTTGCTTCAGGGAACAAAGCATCAGGCTCATTTATTTGGATTGAAACCTTTCACAACATATCATATTCACGTCGTAGCAGTAAACAATGCTGGGCAGGTCTCAAGCCCCTGGACATCTGTGCACACGTTGGAAGCTTCACCCAGTGGCCTGAGCAACTTCACTGTGGAAAAGAAAGAAAATGGCAGAGCTTTGCTGCTAAAATGGTCAGAGCCCTCCCAGCCCAACGGCGTGATTAAGGTAATCTTCATCTTGACACTGCACTTGGTCAGAGAAGAAAAAGGAAATGCTGAATATCAAATTAAAACATTTTTGCTGAAAAGGACTCAATCAAATGCATTATACTTTAAAATAAGACAGAAGTCCTATGTAAGCACAAGACATTCTGTGAGCGCTGTCAGCTTATGGTTATATTAAAATATTAACATTCCTCTGCTATTCCATGACTGTAAATATTCATTTACAGTGAACCCAATTGTTCATTCAGTGTATAGAAAGCTACACATGAAAGCTCATAAGCTTATTTGTCATATATTACACATTGCCAAAATGTGTTTCAGGAAAACCTGGGTTTGACAGAATGTTGTTCTGAAATTTAAGGCTTCTTTTACCTCAATGGTTTCAGCTGAGTCCAAACCTTTACCTGCAAGGTTTGCAACTTGGAGTTTTTGTCTCTAGAGTTAGTCTGCGAGAAGCTTTGTGCTAGCCCATGAGAGCCTTGCAATGAAATTTGATAACAAATATCATGAAAATTGTCACTGATTTATTACTGCATCCAAAATTTAAAGGGAAAAAAAAAAAAAGAAAATTGGATCAAAACATTCCTTTTGTATCAATGCTCTGTTTGTGTGCTGATTGTTATTAGCACAGAAGGAAGTTTCTGAATCATCGGTTAATAGTCTATTGTACAGGTTAAGGTTTCTTATCTATTGCTTATTGTCAAATCTTTTGTTTTACTTCTTTTATCCTGGCTTCTGTCTTTTTTTCCCTCCCTGACTTTTCTTTTCCTTTCTTTCTTTCTTCACCAGACCTACAACATTTTCAGTGATGACAACCTGGAGTACAGTGGTTTATCTCGCCAGTTCCTCTTCAGGCGCCTGGAGCCCTACACCCTCTATACCCTCGTACTGGAGGCTTGCAACGCAGCAGGCTGCACTCGCTCTCCCCCCCAGCCCGTCCAAACAGATGAAGCACCCCCAGTGTCTCAGATGGCACCTGTAATCCAGGCAGTGAACGCCACCAACGTCGAACTAAGTTGGTTGCAGCCAATTAATCCAAATGGAAAAATAATTCGCTATGAAGTTGTTCACAGGCGCACAAAAGAAAATGCTGCAGGGTACAGAGCAACAACAGAAGATGAGGAAATTGTTTTCACAGAATATAACACTGAAAGTAATACATTCCTATATAATGATAAAGGTTTACAGCCGTGGACAAGGTATGAATATAAAATACGCACCTGGAATGCAGCAGGTTACACTGACAGCTCCTGGACAGTGGCAAAGACAAGTCAAACTGCCCCAAAAGGTCTCGCCGTTCCCAGGTTGTCCTTGGTGTCAGTCAACCCCCGCAAAGTGCTCATCTCGTGGGCCTCCCCGACACAGCCCAACGGTATTCTTCAGTCCTACAGGCTGCTGAAGAACGACGTTCTCTATCCTTTCAGCTTCGACGCTGCTACCTTCAACTACACGGACGAGGACTTACTGCCCTACTCAGTCTACAGTTACGCGATAGTTGCCTGTACGATGGGAGGCTGCTCTACCAGTGAGCCAGCTGCAATACGGACGCTGGAAGCAGCTCCTGCCTTCGTGGACCCTCCAGCTCTGCAAGCTGTCAGTGCTACTCAAATTAATGCATCCTGGGCACCTCCCCAAATACAAAATGGAGATATCACCAAGTACATATTAAAACTAAACAATAAAGAGTATTATCCTGGCAAAAGTTTGCAAATGTTGGTTTCTAATCTACAGCCTTACACGCAGTATGATTTTGCATTGGTTGCCTGTACTGCAGGGGGCTGCACATCTAGCCTGTCCCAGTCAGTGATGACTATGGAGGCTCCACCACTAACCATGGAAGCTCCCAGGCTGCTTGTCATGGGCTCGGAATCGATTGAAATAACATGGAAACTTCCAGCTAACCCAAATGGTAAAATCACAAGCTATGAGCTAAGGAGGGATGGTGTACTTGTATACTCAGGTCTGGAAACTCGGTATCTGGATTTCAACCTAATGCCAGGCATGGAGTACAGCTACATTGTCACTGCAAATAACAGCCAAGGGAGTGTGACCAGCCCATCAGCTCAGATAAAAACCAACCCCTCTGCTCCATCTGGGATGTTGCCTCCTAGGTTGCAGGCATGGTCCTCAAGGGAGATTTTGGTGGCCTGGGATCCTCCTATCAAAGTAAACGGTGACATTAGAAATTACACAATCTCAATCCACAAGCCTGCTGAAACAGGAAAGAAAACTGTTGACTTTGATGCATCTCATGTTTCGTTTCTGAGACGGTCATACATAGTGGCAGAGCTACAACCCTACACTAGGTAAGTCTGGAAGACCTCATCTGTTGAATAAATGCTGCAGGGTGGTTTGGTGGGTTGGCAGACAGCTCAACCATCTTGCTTAAACAGATAGTCAGACCCATGGGGTTTTGTTTCCCAAAAAGTACGTGACAAAACCATAGGTCGAGGTTTTTTTTCATTTATAGTAACACCATCTGTATATTATCTTGACGAAGTGCATAGGGTTGACTTGGGTTGTAATTAATACAAGGGGTAATTCAGCACTCTGGTTTAGATTCCAAAACCTGCAATCTTGGACTTGTGTATCTTTTGCAAGATGTCTGCATCCAAGAATAAATGGAGCTTTAGCTGACAAAGTTCAGGCTAGGGAGACCAAAAACCTGTTAGCTAGCCCATTCACAGTGGAGGCGAGCTAAGATTAATGGTGTCAGAGCAGGAACATCCTCTCACCCTTGAGCTGGGAACAAGTGCCTTGTGTTTAAGTGAAAGCTAAAACTTAACAGAGAGTGCTGGCCTCTGCTACAGAAGGAGCACACTTGATACTAAAGCAATATCTTGCCCACTAATTCTTGATTATTTTCCTGACCTTTCCTTATATATTTATGTAGGCATAATTTGTGTGTGTTACATAGTTGATAAGTCTGTCTACTATTTACTTTTTACTAATCTAAAGCCAAAGCGAGAAAAGTAATAGAGTGAAGTTCTATAGCTCTCAAATTATATCCAAATCATCTCCTACAATGAATCATCATTTTGATTCATATCATCAAAATTATTTTGATCACTTGACTCCTGCAGATGTTAACTCTGCTTTGAAGAAAAGAAAAAAAAGAAAAAAAAGAAAAAAGAAAACCCAGAAGACAGTGCTCTTTTTTGCTACACAAGGCACAACATATAATCTCTGTGTTCATACAAACTGTTGTCTTATCAAGAATGCCAAAACAACAAGGGAAATTAAGACAAACCTCAGATCTCATGCACAGCCTGTATTTCCAGTCTTTTACTCACTTTGTTGCTGATTTATGTTCCCACAGGTATGAAGTACAGCTCCAAGCTTGCACAGAGCTGGGTTGTGCCTCCAGCGAGTGGGCATCGGTGCAGACGCTGGAGGCCCCCCCAGCAGCACAGCCTGCCCCCCTCATAGAGGTACAGACAACAGCTGGGGGGTTCCAGTTGGCTTCTTCCATCCTGTGGACTGGCCCACAGCAGCCAAATGGGAAGATCTTGTACTATGAACTTTATAGAAGGCGAACGACCCAAGCCCATATAAATTTAGACCTCATGCTTGTTTACAATGGTTCTTCAACCGCCTTCAAAGATGACAAGTTGCTGCCTTACACAGAATATGAATATCAGGTGGGAAATGAAGCAAGTTAGCAGCTCTGATGATGATTTTTGTATACTTTGAGAATCTTACTTTACACTTCCAGCAAACGTACGTCTCATTTCTAATGTTAATAGTATCATGATACCAGAATGATTATTATGAATGTATTTTAAATAGTTGAGAAGCTGAAAATAATTTTACACAAATGATACTTTCATTCAACATTCATCTTTCTGCAGTTTAATGGTAAGTACTTGTGTTTCTGTATGCTAAATGCTTGTGTACCCTCCAGAGCTTTTGCAAGGCTCTAAAAAGTTACGTGAGTAGTGTGAAATTCTAATTCTTAAAAGGCAGCTTAATTTCCTAAGTTTTTCTTTCTTTTTCCACCCAATCTATTATGAATTAATTTTTAATTTATGATTGTAAAGTAGTTTACATCAAGAGAGGCTAGGGTTGTTTTATTTCTAAATTAGATTATAGCATCACAAGCAGTTTTTGTGGGTGTTTCAAAAGTGTATTTTGTGTTGATGGCTGGTATTACTTCTTATGCACATAGGTGTTTTTACTATTGTTTCTCTTCTAAGGCCAAGATAAAACAAGGAGACCAGTTCTGCCATTCTTTCACCTGTGATTGTTTTCTATGTAAAAGTTTTAAGTTTTAGCGTCTTTTATTTATCATACAGCACTAGTGACAGCACTTGATTTCAGCATATGAAGTAAAAACTTTGCTATTGATCACCATCAAAAACCTTTCCCACATTTTTATATGAGTTAGTGGAGTTCAGACCCTCAGAAAAAAAACAAAACAAACAAACAAAAAAAAGAAAAAAGAAAAAAGAAAAGAGAAAAGAGAGAAAAAGAAAAAAGAAAAGAGAAAGAAGAAAAAAGAAAAAAGAAAAAGAAAAAGAAAAAAGAAAAAAGAAAAATAAAACCACAACCTTGAATTTGTTATTTCTAAAAGTAAGTGCGTGTAGTATTTTACCAGGATGATATTGATTTTTTTATATGTTGTTTTCTACAAATAAACATTCTTATTTGCCACCAAACAGGATATGACTAAAGCCTCACTACTGATTCTGTACACAGTATTTGTATACATGACATACCTTGAAGATGTGTTTGGCAGTGCTCAGAAGGATTTACAACCTTTTTCCTAAAAAAAAGAAAACCCTTAATCAATACAAAAAAAAAATTTTTCAAGCGTGTATCTGTTTTGATACATATGAAACACAGTGCATTCCACCTCTTGAGCTCCTGCAAGGTGGTGGCAATCTTCCTGTTATGGGCTCGTTTGCTTTAGAGCATCACAGACTAATACAGGGCTCTCAGGACACCATCCATTCCAACTTTCTGCTCAAAGCAGGGTTCAGTTAAGAGGTCAGATGAGGTGACACAGGGCTTTATCCACCTGTGTAAATCTCCAAGGAGGGAGATTGTATAACCTCTTGGGGCAGCTGTCTCCACGGCTTGACTGTCTTCATTATGAAAACTTTTTTTGTTAAGTTCAGTCTGAACCTCTTTAGCTTAAACTTATAGCTTTTTCTTTTGTCCTCTTTCACCACATACTACTGTGAGGAACCTGGATCTACCTTCTTGTTAGCCTGTGGGTAGGTGCTGGGGAATTGGAATCAAGTCCCTCCAAAGCCATCTCTTTTGTAGGCTGAAGAAGCCTCAGTCCCATAGCTTCTCCTCATAGACCAAGTTCTCTAGCCTCCTGATTACCTTGGTGTCCCTCCACTGAACTCACTCCGTTTATCCATTTGTCAGTATGTTTCTTGTATTCGGGGGCCAAAATGGAACAAATGCTAAGGCATGTAATCACTTCCTTTAATTGTCTGGCTATGCTCCTGTTAAACAGCTGAAGATGCTGTTGGACGTTTTTGCTGCCAGATTACACTACTGGCCCACGTTCAGCTTTCTATCTGCCTCTAGATGCTTTCCAGCAGAGGTGCCTCCTAGCTGTTTAGTCCCTACCTGTAATGCTGCAAGGTGTTATTCCTTTCCAGAAGCAAGACTTTACATTTGTCTTTATGACATTCATAAAGCTCCTGGTGACCACTGACCATTTGGCCACTGTGAATGGCAGACCTGCCCTTCAATATATCAGCTGGTCCTCTCCACTTTGGTATCATGTGCAAATTTGATGAGAGTGTGCTGTACAGAGCAGGTTCTTCAGTAGCTCGGGTCTGCTACAACTGTTGTGTTCTTCTTGGTAGTCAGAAACCCAAAAGAATAAAATCTAAAAATTTGCTTTATCACATTAGTCTGTTCAGCTGCTATACGGACATGTGTTTTAGTGCCACTGAGTCATGTAGATTGCAAGTGACATCCAGAAGACATCTATCCTAACTCACTACTTGAAGCAGGTCCAGATAGAGCAGGCTGCTCAAGGCTGTTTCCAGTTGATATTTGGATCAGGTTCTCCATCCTCGAAGCTCCAAGGATGGAGAGTGTACAGCCTGTGTGAGCACTCTGTTCCAATTTCTGTCTAGATATCTCCTACTTTTTCTTGCATGTAATTCCCTTATTTCAGCTTGTGTCACTTGCCTCTTGCTCTGTTACTGCCAGAGTTCCTGGGCCTGGAGGGAGGAGTGCAGTGGCTTTCTTCATAAATCAGTTTCAGCAGCTCTAATTTGAGTAAGAAAAGAATTCAGAAGGGACAATTATAAAACTATTGAAAAGAGCCTAGGGTGCTAGTAGAAAAGTGTAGTCACTTCAATATTCACAGTCTTCTCCCCTTGACAATCACATCCTTTTTTTTTTTCCCCTTTAGATGTTTCTGGATTAGCCACGTGTCTGTAAGGTAACAGCCAGCGTTAAACATCTGGCTGATAGCTTGGTGCTGAAGGAAATGATGAGGGTCTGTGAACTGACTGCTTCTTAGTGCTGATTGCAGGTCCATGTTACTTGATTTCTTTCAGTTTCTTAATGACAACTTCTTGAACCTAGCACTACAGAAAATGCTACAATAGTACTTTTCAAAGGAAAAAATGATAATTGCTCAAAGTCTGAAAATTTTTCACACTTTAAATATACAAGGGTATCTTTTTCAGTTGTCACTTCTCTTGCGATGAGAGCTGTTGAAACTTTCTTGGAAACAGCATGTTTTAGGGTGAACTGTTGTTTAAGTCCTACTATGCACAAATTTTAAGTTTTCATTTCTTTCTCCCAGTTTTCCTTTAATGCTTGTGTAAGGCTCATCTGTTTGCCACAACAGTGTGAAGTCTGCTCTCCATTTACTGTGGTTTCCATTCAATCTGGTTCCCTTGTAGGAGAACTATTGTTAGATCAGAACTCCTTGCTACTTCGGATGGCAAGCATTATAGCAGACCCAAGCCCTACTTGTGCATTAGGAATCTTTCTTAAAGACAAACTTTCCAAGGTGGAAGTTGCAGACATTGGCTGTGGGATCTTCTTAGTTGCACCAGCTCTCAATTATCTCAGTCAGGAGCTAGGTTTTTTGGAAGCTGATACCACAGACACTTTCTTGAGCCAAAATTTGTAGTGATCTATCAGTAACAGATAACAAAGAAAGCCTCTTGACCATGTTTCTGTGGTTTACTGTGCTGTACTCAAGACTCCTTTTTATCTTGTTTCTACTCCACAGCTGGGCTGAGCTGGTGACTGGGACGTTAAATCATTTTCAGTTCTTGTCCTAGTGGCCATCTATTTCACCATGAGAATTTTTTGCACGCACATGTTTATCTTCTGCTTATGTGACTTGCAGCAGTCCTCTGGGATCTATTCTGAGCCCCTCCATTGTTGACAATTTATATCTTGCCTGCAAGACAAGTTATTTGTAAGTATAGGGCTTGGCTTTTGCTATTATGCTGATGAAACCCAGATTTATATTTCACTTAAACTGGGTATTGATTCTGCTATCTCTGCATTTGAGGCTTGTTTGCTGCACATAAAACTTTAAATGCAACTAAATTTCCTCCAGCAGAATGCAGATAAAATAAAAGTGCTGTGATGGGACTCTCTCCAGCATTTTTGGAGGTATTGAGGTCTAGTTCAATGAACGCTGACAACTTCTTTGGATCTGAAGTCAGGATCTTGGAGTTTGGTTGGTTGGTTTTTGTTTGGTTGTGTTTTTTTGTTGTTACTGTTGTTGTTGTTTGGTTTGTTTTGTTTGGGTTTGTTTTGTTTTGTTTTGTTTTCTGGAAACCAGCTGAATATTTAGGGCTTGTAAGACTATACACAAAAGCTGCACTTTCAGAAATCATGAAGTGACTTTAGAAGCTCATGATGGTCAGAAGGACTATGCCTCCTAAATGCTTAGGTCACTGTTGTTCAAGGAAACACTTCTATTTTTAAGGGTCAGATCTGCATAATTGTATTAGCATCTGCTAGACTTCAGTATTTTTTTTTTGGTTTTTTTTTTTTTTTTTAAGGGATGGTTAAGGTACCTACTGCACTGTACTCAGAAATAATTACTTAGAACTTTGAAATTGCATCTATCAGTCTATTCATCCATTTAGATATTTGCATTTTCTAGAACATCTGGTCTTTTAGGTATCTGTTGGAATTATGCCTGAGATTTTCAGCTGTATGAAACAGCTGCAATTGCATGATCCTCTGGGGGAAAAAAAAAAAAAAAGAAACCTGACTTAAACTTTATAACTCATGAGGCCTAATGAGTTTTCAAGTGTAATCTTTTGACTTCTGGAATATTTCCGAAACAATATGTAAACTCTTCTTAGGAATTATTGAGTATGGTGTGCAACTTATAGAGCCAGACCTGGGTTTTTCAGCTAAGGGAATGTCATTTTGAGCAGATACTTGAGGCATTTAATACTATTTGCAAAGCAGAACTGTTAGAGTATGGTGTGATTTCCATGCAAGTGCAATGTCCTTCCTCCACAATTGTGCTTAATTGTCTACTTAAGACTGCTTCTTTAGATTAATAGTTTAATGTCTTCCTGATTTAGAACGCATCCTTATTTCCATTTGGCAGTGAGAGAACATGTAAAAGACATAAAAGTAACATTGTCCTTTTACAGCAAGTTTTATGGCTCCCTGCAGAGGT